TATTATATCTACTTATTTTGATTTAGAATTAAAAAATACTATGAGTTAAAGTTAATAACATGAGAAAAATATTAAATTGCGTTCAGAGCTTGTATAAACAGTTTGATATAAACATAATGGAAGGACAACTCACAACAAATACAATAATGTGCAAAACACCGCTTTCACATTTATTCATAAATGACAAACTAAATATTATAGATTTTTGTTAAATGAATTTGGCCATAAAAATACGTTTTTAATGTAACAAGGTAGTTATGTTTGTAATATGGATTAATGCAAGACTTATAAATAAATCTTGATAGTCGGAAGGTGTTAAGCCATATTTATTTGATTTATTTTTTATTTGTGAGTAGAATTACGTTACATCATTCTATAAAGTAGTAATAATGTGCAATATGGTTTTACAAATTGTTTACGTAAATGTAAATAAAATAGCTACATTAGATCAAAAATACTCCCTTAGTCCTACGGAGTTTCTAACTAGAAACGCTTGATTTCGTTCATAGTTTTTCCATTTACACATTTATTTAATTTTAAAATGTTAAAGAGTGAATAGGCCTAAAACAAGGTTTCAGTAAACTATTACTGGTCACCTGGTATAACTGCCAGACAAAAAGTGAGAACTAAAATGATCAATAAACAAAAAGTATAGACACAAACATCACGTATAACAATAATTAAATAAATATTTATAGTAATTAAGATAGAAAATTAAAATTAATTAAAATAGATTCAGTTTGGTACTCGATGTTGAATACCTCAAGCAAGTAAATAAACATTGAATATTTCCAGACAGGTTGTGGTATCTTTATTTTATCTCCTGGCACTTAAAGACCCCTCATACCAAAGGTTCCCTACAGGGGGTGGCGTTATTGCTGATTCCCCCACCAGGTTATAAAGCTGTAAATGGTTGGTTCCTTTCCTACAAGCATCTTCCTCCCTTCAGATTGGATTTATTCAAATGCTTGAAAAGTATCATAAAAGGGAAAGAAGTCAGAAGTATTTGTCACACGACGGTGATTTTTTTGATTTCTTAGAGCTTGAAGGTATGAAATTATGTAATAATACCCATATTATATGTTTTAATAATGCCCACACATGATATTCACTGTGTTTACATTTGGATTTAATTCCTATTATCTTATTTTACTCTGACATGAATATTTTCTTATATATATATATATCTTATATTCCTATATATATCTGAGGGGATAGGTCTGAGGGGATTGGTTGAAATTAGGACTATTAAACAAATTACATATTATTTTAAATTATATAGTGACAGGAAACGTACGTATGAGTTGGTACATTATAAATCTCACTCAACTTGTTTTGTTTTATTACAACTTCTAGCATGTTTATCCTAAAGGCACTATTGAATGAAAAACTAATGATTTTCACTCAATGCTCTTAAGAAAACATAAATGAACTATTTTTGTTTCTTGAAACATCTTAATCTACTTTGTAAATTCAGTTGAATGTAATTGGGCTGTTAAACTAAATCAATGTTATTCATTTTTAACATAATGCAACACAGATTGGAACCTCAAACCTCAAATAATAAAATCAATTGATTAGATCAATTCACACTCAACACTCATGTGAATAATGAATGCATTATGTTTAGTTTACGAAGTGGTTTTATATTTACAAAGAATAGAATCGAACTATAAATGTATAAAATACCATCGCCGCAGCAAACCTGCAGACCAAGCGAATTTGCATTTACCTGACTGAATTTATACTAAAATATTTACTGAAAATTGCCAGATTTATTTCCTATTTCCTATTAACATTAATTTTAGTGGGTCTTGTTTTTTGAGATTTGTCTTTTATTGCAATGCCGATAGCTAAGTATTAAATAAACAATATTTCCAAATTTTGTTTAAATATATCTATAAACAAGCACACTACAACAGTTTATTTATTATCCGTAAGAATAACATGGGAATTTTAAATTTACAATTTTTAAAATTATCTCCGTAACCATTAGGCATACAACAACGCTTCAAGATACAAAATTATTTTTTTTATGGAGTTATGCAGCCTCGGGCAACAAGCCTCTGAACCTATATAAACCTTCTTAGTCTCCCTAAGGCTCGCTGGGAAACAAAGGTGACATGATCGGAGAAATTCAGGTGACTGTCAATCACGACGCCAAGAGTCTTTGCCTTCTCACACACTACCAGACAGACACTCCAGCATCTCTCAAGGTCTGCACTTGGTCCAGAGGCGCTGTATGCCAGACAGTGCACTTATCAGGGTTCAGTTTGAGACAATTGACAAATGACCACTTGGAGATGCTCTCCATCCAGCAGAATACCCGTCCTTCGTAAGGGGTTGGCAAATGAGTATAAAATGCTTATTGTAGTTATACTCTTTGCGTTTGCAATGTGAGAAGACACGGTTTGAGAAAATTTGCTCCATCAAACTTACGGCATGCTATAGTATTACACATCTACCATAGCCATAATGTTCTACCATTTCACCTACACAATAGAGAAACATAGATTATTAAAATATCACAAATTATTCATGAAATTAAAAACATAGAACATAACTGTAAACAATCCTACTTTAACTGTTCTCATTGCGTATCACAGTTTTTTGTCGCTGCTTAGTTCAAATAAATTAGCTGTTTTCATAAATAATGAGAAAAATAATAGTGCTGCACCCTGTTGGTAAATCTTATAAATGTTTAATGCTTTTGCATATCATAGAACCAGCTGGCTAAATTCTTTAATTCCCTTTAAATATGAATACTCATAAGGTTAACATGGGGAACTACAGAGCCACTGGGGTGGAGCCCAAAAGGATTTTCGAGATAAGAATATGTCTATATGTTAATCGGGAATGTGAGCTATCATCACCCCACATTTCAGCCCAATCTGACCAGTATTTTTCACGTTTACTTGTCACAAACATACATACATACATCCAAACTTTCTCATTTATAATATTAGTAGGATATATACATGTGAATTTGAACGGATGGTGTTTTACGCCTCTGGGGACATCAAAACGAAAAAGAAAACCGGTCCCGGGTCCAGGTCTTACCATGAGTACTACGGTAATAACTTATTCTCTATATGGGAAATTCGTTAAAACACCATTTTTATACTGTTCAAGCGAATACCTTAGCCTTATAATCACCCCTTGTATAACGTGTAGAACTCACATCATCGCTGGGTATTTGAACCCGTACAATTCATTGTTTCACCAAACAATACTGCAATCCATGGGTTAATTAATTCCTCCTGGCATTTCTATTGAATCTTGAAACCAAATTACACCTGTTTGTGTATTCTTTGGTATTTCATGACGTGCTTGAAATATATTTAACATAGTGATTTAGCAATTAATATACGATTATCTTGAGATATTTTTTATTTTGAAAATCCTTAGTATAAATCCCAAAGTACCCATGAACTTTTGTGAAAAATACAAGTCACACCCCAGTAAACCATGTACTTCAAATGTTTGTCATGATGAGAAACCTTGCGCAAAACTATCCATATTTCATAAATTGCCCTTCCTCTCTAAAGGGAACTTTCCATATACCTAATGTTAAAAATACCTCAGCTGTACTTATTTGTTTGTTATTCTTTTAATTTATTACCTTATTAAAATCAGGTGTGATTATTTATTGTATTCGTTTTCGGTTTTGTTCATTTCAGCTTAACTTCCAATTAATAGTTTTAATAATACTTACGAAGTCAAACGGGGTGAAGCCCGTGGGTAACAACTAGTATTAGTACATTTTTCAACATTTTAATTTTGTAAAACGGCCTACAATATTTTGAATGCAATAGTTTGGATTTTTATGTTCTGTACATTCAGACGTTAACTGATTTAGAGGGTACACACAATTAGGAAAAAGTCATACTGAATGATTGCCACCCGTTTATATAGTTTGTTTATTATTTTAGTTAGCCAGCAATATCTACTTAAACAATAGTATTTCCTGTAGTTAATAATTTAGAATTATTCTTTATTCCACTATATACAGTAGGTGTATTATAATTCCTAAAAATATATCACACTTTGTAGTGCCCTCTATACTCTGTAATGAATAGGTTTTAAAATAATTACAAAATAATATTTAAAGCTTTAGCCGATGCTTTCATTACACTTCTAATTAATCTTCCATTAGAAATGCATCGTAACCAGAAATGCTCCGTTAAGCCCAACGTTTCTCAATATCTCTCTCGTTAATTTAAAAGTGAAATTACTGCGGTTAATCGACGCCTTCGGTGTTGTAAAACCAACAAATACTGGACAAGGAACACGCGTATGGAACTTTCGCTAGTTCCGGCGTTCCAGTCTGGTAAGCTGAGGATGCACGGCCTTCTGGAAAAGGCAACGGAGCCTGGCGCAGCTGTCGACGTAATACAGGAGGCAGTGTGTGAAAACAATGCGAGGAGGTTATGCAACTGGGTTGTTGCAGTATTTTGAAGTGTTTCCTAAATTAAACATTTTTACCAAATAAAGAAATACGTGTTTTTGGCTAATGGAACTAAACTCGAATATGTCTTTGGACGCTGTGACTCAGTACAGGTTACGCTGACGTAATAGAAATGTAAAAATAAAATTTTAAAGTTTAGTTGGCAATAGTACTTTCTTCTGGTGAGTTCAATTACATACATTTGAATGTAACAAAAATAACCGAATGGCTACCTCTAATTTAGGATCATGGTTCATATTGTTAATGCAGGCTTTCTTCCTTGGTTATAAAACAACAACACTAGAAGCTTGAAGCACTAGAACGTCTGTTTCGTTATAAATATAAACATCGGACTTTAAGTTGAGCTATAAGTACCCTATAACCCCTATTTCAACAATAGTGTGTTCCTTCTGGTAATATAGTAGGGCACTTCTGATTATCAGCATATCTAGCAGATAAAACCAACATATATAGTTAAACTATTATTTGCACTTAATTTAAGTAAACCTTTAGAAACTATACACACCTATGAAACGATAGGGAAAATCCAAAATTTTACAAAAGTACAAATTTATTATTACAAAAATATGCCTACAATTTATTGTGAAGTGTCTTTTTTGGTGTCCCGTTTAAAATGACTGCTCTCCTCGTGCTCATATCCACCAAGGTCTTCACCATAGTGCTCCTTGGGCTCCTCATGGTGTTCTTCGTGGTGTTCCTCATGGTGTACTGGCACATGGATAGGCACTTTGACTGGGTAAGGCACTGGCTTCTCTACGGTGTAAGGCACCTTCTTCTCTACGTAGACGGGGTATGGTTTAGGCACATGGACGGGGTAAGGCTTCTCATAAGGGACCTGTACAGGGTAAGGTACCTTCTTCTCGACGGTGTAAGGCACGTGCTTGTACACAGGGTAGTGTACGGGGTAAGGCTTGTCTACGGGAACTTTGACTGTGTACGGGACATGTTTTTCTACAGCGTATGGGACTTTTTTCTCGACATAGACGTTGTAGGGCTTGGGCACATGGACGGGGTATGGTTTGTCGACGGGAACCTTAACTGTGTATGGTACCTGTACAAACAAATATCGTTAAAGAAATACATTTAATAATAATGTTTAATACATTTTGCCATAATGTTTTAACTCTCTACATATGGAAGTTACAGCTCGAATTTCAATATAAAATTATAATAATCGCAGTGCGAATATTGTACTCGAATTATGCAATGAGTTTCTCTTTAAAGTACATGTAACTATCACTCAAATCATTACAAAATTTAATATACATTTTCATAATATAGTTGTGTGTAAATCAAATTTTAACATACCATATACTTTGTTGAAAATATAAAGTTTATTGATGTATCACGAAAATTCACACTTGAATCACGAGAATTACGTAAGGCTTACATCACATTCAATGATTGTTGTAAAGTAAAGGTAAAAAGGTAAGAACCTTTTCCTACCACAGTCATACATTTGAGGATTAGGCTGGTAAATTATTTTGGCTTTAAAGAGCATTTTTCCATAATCCTTTAATTAAAAAATTTCAATTATATTTTCAAACAAACGGGTTTCTTTGAATGAAGACTCATTTCAGTGTGTACTGCTTTCTAAATTATGAACATCATAGTGATCATTTTTTTAAAAATTAAATTAAATACAAACTTTGAAAACTTGTTTTAAAATAATATTCGTGCTATCAAAAGGCCGTCAATTTGTTTCGGCACTATCCAATTAATAGTATTAACCTGAATGGTTTCAGATCCTTAGTTTAATGAAATTTACTGGTTTTTTATTATTTGTATTTTATTGTAATTTTTTCAAACGATAGGCCACAGAGAAAATGAAATGATCTGTCAAATACCTTTTTGTACACAGTGTACGGTTGGGGGACGTATTCTTTGACTGTGTAGGGTATCTTCTTCTCTACGTACACTGGGTATGGCTTGGGCACATGAACTGGGTAGGGTTTGTCGACATGCACCTTAACTGGGTAGGGCACCTGAAACAGGCAGATTATTTAGTAGAACTCAGATAAATTTTTGCAAAATAACACAAATTGTTGTTGCAAAAACACCATTGCAAATACTACTTTATAGCTTATAAATAACGTATACTGAATGATTTTACCATAGATAAGATGTACCACATAGATCTCTATCCTTATGGACTGGTAGACATTTCTTATGTATGTATGTCGGGCAACCCTAGAGTGTGTATGAGTATTTTCTTATGTATTTTACACTCCTTAAACTCTCTTTAACGTCCTAATTGTTTGATATATTTGTAAAATATTGCTCTTCTACTAATACAATGCCAAAGAGTATTCCAATATTAAAGATTTACTCTAATATTAGATACAACCATGTTCATATCAATGCCTTCAAGGCTCTTTGGACCTAGATGCTTTAGATGTTAACATGCTTCTAATAACAATACAAATTTACGAAACAATAATATATTTGATTTCTTACTAAGGCTAGGATTATTGCAACAGTAAAATTTGTTATGCCCAGTTTCACTAATTTTATACCTATTTTAATTGCAAGAAAATGCAGCTTGAATATGTCCGCAACAAGGGAGAATCCTTTTCATCAAAATAAAGGACAACGTAAAGAAAACGGTATTAAATAAAGTAAACATGTTTAACATTTACAGTTTGGATTACAGTACCTCCTGTCATAATTTTATATCATAAAAAATGGGCATTGGTACACATATTGTGGTTATATGAGTAATAACAGATAATTTTGTAGATACTTAAAAATTCATATAAAATTGAAATTATTTAAATTCATATAAATGGATTGATGACTACTTGTTAATAGCATGATATTTTCAGAAGTCTCGTTAAACTAAACTAAACAATAATACCGAAGAACCGTATGTTCAAACAGGGTTTCCCAAAAAACGTAATAACTTTGTTGCAGTGTAAATATATTAATAACAGGCTTAGAAATATTTTATTAAATGTGAAGTAACTCACATATTCTTAAGTTTTTCTGGATATAAGTTCAATTAAAAATTTCAACATGGCTTCCATTGTTATCAAGACAGTTAATACGGTTATCTAACTCTGACCACACATGTCGCATTTCATCAGTGATGTTGCTGAAGGCTGCATTGATTTTAAATCGCAATTCTCCAACATTGGAGACTTTCGACTATTAAACTTGGTCTCTGACAAAACCCCCAGACGGAAAAATCACATTGTGTTAGATTTTGTTTTAATGTGACATTCAACACACTGAGCTTTCTCTTGCACGTTCATGACGTCTGCATTAAGGTTATGTTTTGAAGTTTAAAGCTTTGAGCGACAACAATGGATCAGCTGATACATGCAAATCATGTTAAATAAAGCTTTATAAGTTCCTCTATCATATGGCGGTTTAAAAAATGATCTATGGATCCCTAAATAAATTGTATTAAGCTTTAAAGTTGTTCAGTTTTTTTGGGACACCCTGACCTTTGTGAGGATAGGATACATAGTAGTTTAATAAATGTACATTCATAATTTATCGTTATAAATCTTTGGAATTTATTGTTGTAAAAAAACCAATTTTATCGTTAAATCGGTTTAACTTAAGTATGGGTATAGCCTCAAGTTCATTAAGTCAAATAATCATAGGATTAAGCCATATTCTGACTGTATTTGTTTCCATTACTTAAAGGGATTTGTAAGATATCTGAAATACCGTAAGTTAATTTTTAACTTCATAAACATTTATCGGAACATTTTTGATGGGCTCTATCAATTAACGAAGTTGTACTGTGCAAGTATTCTTACCTAGAGTGGTAGCTAACTCTAAGAAACTTGAATTATAAGATCTCAAAATATAGCTTGGAACAAAAATATTGACGTTTTTGTGAAAAATGTTAATTATAATACTAACCGCACTTTGTAAGAAATATAAAAAAAAATTTGAAGTATTGTCCACCACATAATTACTTATTTATGATTGAGAGACCATTCTTTAACGAAGTAGGTAAACTATTAACTCTGAATCTAAATTTTACACATCAAGCAAATCATTTAGTTTTAAGCTTTTTAACATAATTTGGTCAAGACAAAGGTTTTTTAAAATCTTTAAATTTTCTAATACATTTTATTGGACATTTATTTTATCCAGAACTTAACTAAAATCGCTGAAATTGCATAAAATGATTAAGTGTCTTGACTTTAATCGTTTTATTATATTTTACAACCATTTAATTTCGCAATATATTTTGTTTTTAATTTATTTGATCCAATACTTTTTTGAACCACGATGACTAAATTTTATAATATAAATAAATCACTGTAACCCGTTTGAAAATTAAATCCCTCACCTTCTTATACACAGTGACTGGGTAGGGTACGGGAACCTTCTTGGTGACCTCCACCGTCTTGACGTGATGATGATGATCTTCGTACGCCACATGGGGCTCCTCGTGGTGCCATCCTTCCCCCAGGACACCCTGCAGGACCACCAGGACTCCCAGGACACTCTGGATACTCACTCTCGGAACCATGGTGCGATACTGACCAGACGCTCCTTGGGCCCGCTAGATGTACCCTCCACAGCGGAACCATGCGTGCAATGATGTAACTGAGATATGTGTAATTCATTAGTTGGATAAGAGGAAATGAGACCACGCTTGACGAGCAATTAAGGTTTATGGGGAAATTATAGTTACGTGTGGATTCGGTTCGTAAGGTTTATTGGTTTTAAAAAAGTATCAATAACGTTTTGTTGGCTTTGTGCGTGTTTGTTTTTGTTATAGAAAATAATGCATTTTATAACACAACTAGATATTCACACCTGCACTTTAGTTACCATAAAGGTCTGATTAGATTCCATTTATATGAAAAAATTTAAAAAGATGGTGCATGGTAATGGTTAAGATATCTTATAGAGTAAATAAGTTAATGTGATAATGTACATGAAAATGTAGTTAAAGACATAAACATATGTCTTACTAGCTGAGTACCCGTCCTTCATACGGGGTTGGAATACAATGCTTATTGTAGTTAAAAACTCGTGCTTTGCATTTGCAATGAGAGAGGACACGTTTTGAGAAATTTGGTTTACTATAATCTACATTATACTATAGTATATAGAACATCTACCATAGCCATATTGTTCTACCACTTCACCTAAACAATAGAAAAAAGTTAAGTTCTCACACTCAGGTTTTTGTTGCTGCTTGGTTCAAATTAGCTGTTATAAATGTATAAAGAGCTAATCGATGTAAGAATATGTCTATATGTTAATCGGGAATGTGAGCTATCATTATACCAAATTTCAACACAATCCTACCAGTAGTTATTGCGTGAACTTCAAACAAACAAACAAATAAGCAAACAAACACACACACTTTCACATTTATAATATTAGTATGATTTCGTTATGATCGTTACAAAAAAATGTGTCCACTAAAGACTATACGGTATATTTTTTGGGAGTTTACTTCATCCACAAATGCATTTTAATTTGGATTAAAGTATGGTAGACATCGTTACTTATTTTTGTTTTCAGTTGAACAATAATGTATTTGTGTTTGATATACAGTTAAGGCATTATGAACTTTGTGTGAGCTATTTACTTAGCATTAGTAAGTTTTAATTGATTAAACCAATATAAGTTATATCCCTGATATGTTATGTAAGCAGCAAATATTTAAGTTCACAAATGAATCACAAACTTAAGATCGTTGTAACGCGATGTGTAGTTTCTTTACAAACAAGTCATAACTGTACAGCCTGGATAATAAAATCTCTATATTTAATAGGCAAACATAATCTTTTTATAATTGTTTTGATGCTGTCACCCATCCGATCACCATATGTGTCGTTGGATAGGTCGTAGCTCGATTTGCCATTAAATATAACCTTTTTTGAAATTCCAATAGGGCTCTGCCCCAGTGGCCTTCAAAGCTTCCATGTTATCCTTATGTAGAACATGTTTGTTTATAAACAGATGAATACTTTGAAATGCACACTAATTTGAAACAGCTGATTATATTTAAACTAATACTAATAAAACAGCTGCAAAACTAACCTTGCGAAAACGATTTGTATATCTAAAAACTATTGTTACTGCTGTATGGAAGTCTTTCCTAAATTTCGTAACCCTTTTTGGACGTTGGCATCTTTTAATTTACAAAGATTGCCATATTAAAGGGAAGTGAAATGTAACACAAACAAACAGTTGAGTGAATGAAAACAACATTAGCCTAACACTGCGGTGTGTTGTTGCAGCCTGAAGGAACGCTTTGGGTTGGAGGGAGGGGCTCTTACAAAACTGTATAGTCAAGAACCTTTACAATATTGAAAGAAAACTTATTGAATGACTCAGTTGTAAGTAAATTGAAAGAAAATAGACAGGAAACAAGGGTGTCACATGCATCGTAAAACAACAATCATTGTTTTGTGAAGGGTAAAAATTAAATTGTCCACGCTTTGTAGGCTTCGTAAAATTTTAAAATTTATAGCAAAATTCGATTAGCATATGGACATCGGGATGAGTTTGCTACTATTTCGAGCACACAATCTGTTCCTTAAAGACAGAGTTTTGACTAGATTGTTTGGATCCGACTTTAAAATGTATGTTCATTTTTGCATACATGGAAGAATATAGTAAAGCAAAATAAACTTTTCAAGGCACATAATAATATACATATTGTAAAATTACCAGGAAAACATAATACATCCAAAAAATTTCAAGTGGTTGGTCGTTTTCAAAAGATAAAGTTATTTCAAAATGCATTGAAGCCTCGACATTTTTTCACTAAAATCAATAAATATTTGAGCTTGCATATGAAAATTAGTATGCCAATATTGGGAATAGACAACAAATGTAAGCATGATAATCTGTATTTTGCTGATATCGTACAAGGAATGTATTGCTTATGATTTGGTAAGGCAGAATGGAATTTATAAAATACTTAAGGATTAGTTACGTAAATTGAAGAGAATTTTCAAAGCACAATACATTACGAACACAGAATCGAAAAAAACTTATGTGTCTTTCGGAATAAATAGCAATTAAAAAAACACTAGTGGGCAAACGATAAACCAATCAATTGTTTTATTAATTCTTATGAAGTCAAACGGGGTGAAGCGCGTGGGTAACAGCTAGTTTGAATACACGAAAAGTACTTTAATTTTTTCAGTCACCAAGAAGGACGAACGCTCATGGAGGAACTGGCGAAATACGTCGCAGTTATGAAAGTGTCATATTGTCGACTAACGACACGGAGTAGGGAGGGCTGATAGGAGGGGAGTGACATCTGTCAATCCTCCCAGACGCCGTGCCGTAGGAAATAAGACAAGCGAAAAATAAACACGTCATTACAGCACCCATCGTATTGGTTGAAAACCTGACAAGGTTTCGTAATCAATTGTTTATTATTTTAAATATATTCCCACTGAAAAGGTTCCTATTAGGACATTATTGCGTTTACCATTATCATAAAAGAAATAAGTATTACCATAGATTTGTGCTTTAACTGAATTTTTGAATGGTAATTGAGAGATTAATTCAATAAGGTATACGCTGTCTGTTTTACTTTAAATCACATTGACAAAAGTTTCGTCAAATTAAATTCGTTTTATGGCTTTAGATTAAAAACCCTCTGTCGTCCTTGTGTCGTCCTTGCAGATAATCTAAGGACGATTCTTTTTTGTCCTAGTCACGAGCCTGAAATTGTTTTTCACATTACTTCAGGCTAGACCTAAGGGTTGTGGCATTATCACTTGGATAAAATCCATTGGTGACTTGGCGGGGATCGAACCCGGGACCTCAGGGACTGAAGTCCCGTCCTCTAACCACTACGCCAGCTCGCTCCCTAAGGACGATACTAGGGAATATCTAAGTTTTATATAATCATTTCATTTTTTTGAACAAAATAATTTAGGCTACATAAAATTCGAACTGTTAATAAACCTGCTTACCCTTTCTCATCATAAATGTTTACCATCATTTATGTGTGTGTTCGACCCTTGATTCATTCGATTTTACGATGACATAAGATGTGTACAATACTTGCAATGTACAAGTACAATACAGCATCTTAAAATAGAAATAGATATTCTATTTTACAGCTGCATGCGTTCAGTTAAAGGTAAAACCTATTGTTGAAACATACACATAAAAAATATGTTTCAAATTCCAAATCTTCACTGTTACTAACACTGTATTTAAATAATAATTTGAAAACTTACTCTTACTTGAACAACTTTTACCAACACAGAATCCTAGCGTGGACTTATATTTAACAATTAATTACCAAATTTTAGTTAAAGCCCTCACAATGAGGTAAACCAAACTTTGATAGTTTCAGGAACAACCAGCGCTAATTAACTGCTCGTAAACTCATTCATGATTAATAGACCTCATGTTCCGCGTCAAGTTAGGTCGATGACCTCATACATTTCTGAAACAATTGCATTTCAGGGCATTTCAATTATAGTTACCTTGTTAATACCTTGTTGCTATAGCTCATAATAAGTCATTCCATCAGTTTGACTGGGTAAAAACCATCATGTAATCGACAGAAATCAGTAATTTAGATCAGCGCATTCTGTAGGTGGCTCACATCAACTAAGACAAATTTTAATAAAAACCTGGCTACAAATTTAACGTGGGGATGGAATGTATAGTTGTTGTATTAATAGTCAAAGGTAGTAGTATCTGCGTTGCCAGCCTATTTCCAAGTATACACGGCTTACATGCACAATAAAACCACGCTGTTTTGTGTTGTTTGGATGGAATTATGGTGTGTTCCAATGTATAAACAATGCGACAAAGTATAAACGGTGTGACGAAGTATAAACGGTGCGACAAAGTATAAACGGTGCGACAAAGTAAGTAAATGCAGCAATTAGCAGCTTTCTGTAGCCTACTATAACTAGTGTAAGGGAACCAACTTGTCGGGTGACTATAGGAAAAATATTTAATTTGTACAGGGGTGACGTTTCAAATAATTTATAAACATATAAATATGATTAATTTGAATTGTTCACATATAGCGCTTGAGCAATGAAAGTTATTAGGTAAACGTTAGACTTTTTTAAGTTATAAAAATAAATAATATGTTATGTTGTAGTACGATTGCCTGGCAGTGTAACAGTTCAGAGCACGGTGTAAGTTACCTTTGATGTTAGTTGTTGTGTTACTTATGTTCGTCATCTTATCAGCTGCAGACAGCCTCAAGCTTTGATCTTTGAGTTACTCAGAACTTGTTAACTCGATACAAGAGGATTAAGCAGACTTCGTGAGGCCGAACTTGGCCTAGTAACATACCAAATATAACATATTTTCTGAAGCTTTCGTGAATGTGCTACGGTGTTTGGTAACAAGGTTTATCAGTCAACTACCTTTATTGGGAGAAAATGTCTCCTAATCAAATTCCACGGTCAGGAGCTGTTCTCTACTTTATCCAGGCACCTAGGCCTTTATCTGAATGCTTAATTAAGGCACAAATTATACCGATTATACACTGTGGACCAGAGTGGTCCACTAAATATCTGCATTAATTAAGTATGCTAAGAAATCATTTAACATTTCAATGCAAGATAAGTGAACGATTGTCAATTTAACTTACACATGACTTAAATGTTCTAAGCATATTACCTAGATTGCATCAAGACTATGATACAGTTAAACAAGCCATTTACTCTTCCTCCATTAGATAAGAATAAAACATAAGCTTTAATGAAACGTATGCAAGTCACAGAAAGATGATGGAAAGACATTATCTTTACACACCTTTTGTAATGGATTTAAGTCGTTAAACAAACTAGCTTTTACCCACGGGCTTCACCCCGTTTGACTTCATAAGTATTTATAAAACTATTGATTGGTTAAGTTAAGCTAAACAGAATACATTAATGCAAACAAATAATCACACCTGATTTTAATATGGTTATAAATTGAAAGAATAGCATAAAAATAAGTGCAGCTGACGTGTTTTCAACATTAGGTACATTAAAAGTTCCCTTTAGAAAGGAACTACGACCTTAAAGGGCAATTTATGAAAAAAGTTTGTTTTGCGCAAGGTTTCTCGTCATGAGGAACTAAGTATATGGTTTATGGGGGTGTGACTTGTAGTTTTCTGAAAAGTTCATGGGTAATTTGGGATTAATATATGTATTCTATACAGGATAAAATTCCTACTTCCTAATGTTGCAGTGCATTAGAAGTTCCAAAATATCATAATACAAATTTAAATATATGTTATAAGGATAGAAAATGGCTTGAAAATGCATTTAAGTTAAGTCTTGGAACATTTATCTATCAAGAATGTTTTTTTATCACCTTAAAAATAAAAGAAGTGCTGGTACGAATACAATGCATTGTTTGGGCAAAATGCATGTTTGAAACAAACAAGAAATGGATAATGTACAAAAATTGCAGTTGCAAGTATTTTTAGGCTTCAGGTGAATTGTTTGGATCGGAATGGCGTAAACAGCAAGTGTGTCATATCTTTCAAATTGTTTACGGGTATTGTAACTATGTTGGTAGCAGAACATAGAACTGGCATAGAAACAAAGAAAAGGAGGATGAGTATCTACAAAATAACACGTCACGATGGCAAATGGCAACAATAACTCAGCAGGTGTTGAATATTTAGTCAGGTGGTTGTTGTTTTTTTCTCTATAAAACCATCTTACTTCAGCACTGCACTTCATAGGCTCTACATTTTACAGCATGAAGCTCCGCTGTTTGATTTTTGTGTTTTCACTTCTTGTCATAGCATGCTGTAAGTAATTTTGTGTTCTAGGGGTTAAAATTTTAATTTACCACACTAAAACCACCAATTCCAAAAAATGTTTTAATGGGATTAGTAATCCAGAAAATACACTGAGTGTTTCATAGCTCATTAAAGCTACACATTGGTAGTATTTGTAAGATTTTTATAAAATAGTATTTTGTTATCCTTCCAACTGACAGGTTCGTGTGGACTGTAGCTATTGTTCTTGTATACTTAGGGCTAAATAATCACTCTTAACTGCCTTAATTTTACTTTGCTTGTTGACATAAGTCAACAGAGCATTATGTTTAAATAATCACAAAATGTTTAGTATATGATTGCAATGCCTATTGTTTTTAGTGTGTATACACTGTACTTACATTTTTAGCAGATTAACACACTCTATACATTTTAGAGTCATTAAATCATTATCTTATCAACTGGAAAATGTCGCTTTCTTCAACTTGAAATTAAAACTGTTTTTCACGGCCGGGAAGCGTTTTACAATGGATTTCCACTATCAGAGTAAGGTTTGCGAGTGTATCCAAGAAGAGGAATTGCAAAAGAAACTATAACGCAGATAAAAAAAAACACAGATATTTCATTATCGTATCCTCTTCCATAATATAGGAAAACTTAAGTAAAGCAGCAATTATGTCTTATTTTTCTATATATAAGAGTAAAGCAATTGGGAAAACATGAAAGCTAAACAGTAAAGTTACTGTAACCTCAAGGTTAATATTGTAGGTTAGTTAATAATGACCGTTTTAAGTGAGCGGAATGTTTGGCCACCTTTTAAAAAAATATCCTCACTGCGCTCTAGTAGTGGAAAGGTGAACTATCTGTGATTAGATTAGTGCTGCATCCAGTAGGAGGAGTCACTTAATAAATAACGTTCCGATACCGTACAATATAGTTCTTGATGACAGTTTTTCTGGAAAAAAGATGTAAACCAATAATAACTCAAGAGTATACTTATATTTTTAACAAAGTGTATTTTTCCAGGTTTGGCTGCTGGTGACTCTTCTGTTGACCGACTAGCGCCCGGTGGTCCAGATCCTCAACACCACGGTCACCCAGGAGTTTACAGCATCTCTTCTGATGGAGTTGCTCCAAACCGACTATCCCCCGGAGGTCCAGACCCACATCATCATCGCTAAAGTGGATCCCCAGCATGTGTTAGGCTAACAAACCAGTTTAAACACTTATTTTATGAATTAATAAATTTAAAACAACTTAAGATTGGTTATTATTTAAAAAATTCTTAGAACTTACCCTAAAGTGTTTTTAAACTTTCAGTAGATACCTTGAGTTGTAATTTTATCATAATGTAAAATAATTTACGTCTCCTTGCCTTTCAAGCTCGTACGCAATGTTTTTACTCCTATAAAATTGAATGGTTGGTAAAAAATTATTGTGTTAGAAAAAAAATTATTGTTAGAACTGGCATAGAAACAATGGAAGGAGGATGGGTATCTAAAAAATAACACGTCGGAAAATGGCAACAATAACTCATCAGGTGTTAAATATTTAGTCAGCTGGTTGTCGTTTTTTGCTCTCTATAAAACCATCTTGCATCAGCACTGCACTTCATTGGCTCTACATTTTACAACATGGAGCTCCACTGTTTGGTTGTTGTGTTTTCACTTCTCGTCATATCATGCGGTAAGTAATGCTTGTGTTCTAGGGGTTGTAATTTTAACTTACCACATTAACACCACCAGTTCAAAAAATGTTTTTTTGGGATTAGTTATCCAGTAAATACACTGATTGTTTCATAGTTCATTAAAGCTACATAAAGGTGGTCCAGATCCTCAACATCACGGTCACCCACTTAAAAGCATCTCTTATAGTGCACTTGCTCTAGACCGACCTATACATCTCCTATACATCATCACTAAAGTGGATGAGCGTCCCAACACGTGTTAGGCTAACAAACCAGTTTAAACACTCTTTTTAATAAATAAATAAATCTCATATTAATAAATACATTCCACTTCTCATAAGGGCGGTTATTATTAGGCCTATACAATATGTTTCTTATAACTTACCCTAAAGTATTTTTTTAACTTTCAGTGCGTACCTTGACTTGTAGTTTTATCAGAATGTAAAAATTAGTTTACGTCTCCTTACCTTTCGAGCGCGTACGCAATGTTTTTATTCCTATAAAATTGGATGGTTGGTACAAAATTATTGTGTTGGGATAAAACAGTATTGTTTGTCTCTTAGTTATCTACTAATCTTTTACCAGTAGCCAAATGGGTAGTGTTTTCTCGAATGGCCATGGCTTCGGCAAGCTCGATCAATGGCCGTTTAAGGCTGGTTACTCATGCTAAAATAAAGAAAAAATCACATAAATGTATGGCGAAAATGCATATTGAACCAGATAACCATAGTTGATTGAACCAGAGTTAATTTGACAAGACATTTCAAAATGGCGGAATTTTCACAACTTAAATTACCATAGAGTAAGTCACAATTCTGTGTACCTTGACTAGCTTAGCCTTATTTTACAACTAAATACGTGATATTTCAGCTATCACAAAAGCTGGGGAGTTCAGTAGGATGAAACATTAATAACAAGAAGGACGTTGTATAATCCATACTTGAACGATAAACCTCTTATAAAAATGATGAACTTTGTTTAATGATTTATTATATTTTCCAGCCAATATTGTCCATAAAAAAATTGCAGATGTTTTAAAGTAGAACATGTTCAAGAAATATTTAAACATTTAAAAGAAGTGTAATCATTTTGTCCAATGTGACAAAAAGTAACAAATATTATAAAAATGTTTTTTTAAATTTAAGTTTACGTATTAAGTATATCATTTTAATGAATGATATTGTTAGGTCCTAGATCTGACAAGAAACATATTTATCTCATGATAAATAATGGGTAGCCTGCAAAATCTTACGCAAAGTATATTGATGTTTTTAATAAAATCGTAACTGAATGTTAGAGTTAAAATTTTAATCACAAAGATACATTGTTTCGTGCAGATTTACAAAATAAAGTTCGAAAGCCTCTAAAACTACTTATCTGCAATGGCAGTGGAATAGACAAAAAACAAAATAAAAATTACGTTATATACATATATTAATTTCAACTTTAAAAGTAGTTTGGTTTTTGTAGGGTTGGCTGCACTGCTCAATGACACCACCATTGAGATATAGATTATAACTGCAGTCACTACTCTCTGGTTAAACATTAGAGAAGAACGTGCCACTGTTTTTGCTGGTTTCTTTTCGGTGTTTCGTATTGTTAGGTTGGCCGTGTGATCGGTTGGTAGGATGCTGTCAAATTCCAATTCATTCTAACCTAGTCATACTACACTAGTTGCTAGTTAACCACACTATTCATTTGGGGTTAGGCCTATCCGTTATTTCAAGGACTTATAAAGAAAACTTATTTAAGTTATTGCACGTTAAAACCTGTGCATTTAAAGTTGTTTTGAAACATTATACATTGTTTTTGGTAGTAAATAAATAGGCTACTAATTTATTTACATCTTTTCAAGCTATGTGGTGAAAATACTAGTCAAGTTTCCTGGTTTGGAAATATTGGTTTATTCTTGGGTTTAGCCCTATGGAATTTGATAAAGAACGACCATCGGTTCATGATCTTGTTAAAATGGGTTGCTCTTGCTCGTAAAATAAATAATTAAACTTATATTGCAATCATACTTTTGAAATATTTTTGTTTGCTGTCAACAAGACAATAGGATGACGCCATCTTGATCTTGCCTCTAATTTAATTTGACAAATCCCACCAACCAATCACCTGGCCAGCCTAACAACACGAAACTCTAAAACAAAACAATCAAAAACAGTGGTACGTTTTTAAAACACAGAGTGGTTCCTCCAGTTATTATTATAGCTCAGTGGACACCACGATTTTAGACAAAGAGGACAAAACGAAAAGGAAGGACAATTCGGAGCTATTGCTGAATCGCCTTAAAAGTCATTTTATCGTAGTTACTACTTTATTTCCTTAAATTTCCTTAAAAATGTTTTTAGTTTCCTCTATCTAGATAAGGGCATTAAAGAACCTCTACGGACTCCCATGCCTCTGATTAGCTTACTGAGCGTCTGCTGAGGGTGTCCGGGTGAGGGGGGGTGATAGAGGGGAGGGGGAGCAGTTAAATTTGCATACGTTACGTACAAGCAGTGGTCCTAATTGTTACAATTGAACGTTGATGTGGTGCTGGGGGTTTGTTTACCTCTTCTTATCTGCATTTATATTACAATGAGTATCGAAAACATATAGTTCCTTTTAAATGTCCATATTTACTAGGTAGTTTTGATACAGTTATTACATAATTAAATAGTTGTTCTGATTACCTTACTTCTTTAAAGGGTAGATGATGTGAGGAAGTGAGGGACATAGTTCATACGAATCCCTCCGATAAGAAATACAAATATTTCCACATATTAGTGTTTATTACGTAGTTTTTAGTAGTAAATAATTTTACAAATTGTACAAAAAATGTATCTGTAGAACGAACCTTATTTTTGTATTAAATTTGAATTAATTGGATATACTGTTATTGGTTGGGTGAAAAACAACTTAAAAACATGGTTCAATAATCTTCTCAAACATATTGTTTTCAAGTATATATTAAATACATTCGAGACATATTGAATATGAAATAAAATGGTTTTGATGTTTGACAAATTATTTATAACATGAGACCATATTGTTTTTAAGACCATATTGTTATTCTAATAAATATACAACGTTTTACGAAACTGCTTGAATAAACGGTAAGCACTATTTGTTAATATTAGAATAAATAGTTGGTCCAAAAATAGTTGGTAATACTAAAGCTTGGTGATGTTACAGAAGCTAAATCTGTACAAAGTTGGTCAAACGGAATGCGTAAAATTCATAATCCCTGCTATGAATAAAATACACAGTTATTACTGAAACAGCAGTGATCCTTGGTCAAATAATTTCTCTGTTTAGTACAAATTTTAAAATACTATAAACGTTTTAATTTTTTATAATGATATTTCTTTACTGTTACCTTTATTCTGTTGTATATGATTTTTGTTTGAATATGAGTGATCGGGACGCAAGGTTGTTTTAATGTCTACTTATTCTAAACTATGTGGACGTAATATAATTGTAGTTTTGCAATGAATGTATCGAAGTGAATTTAAAATACTTATTTTTTCAGTAGAAGTGTTTAGTCGCTGATTACGTAGTAGATTATGTGTAGTCCCCATATTAACATACTCCTTTATTGATTTTAGTTACACATGAGATGAACAATATTTATGGAATAATTTTGCCCGGTACAAGTACTGTAGGTAGTGTTAGTGATTATTTTGTTACATCAACACTTGAAAATAATGTTCACCTAATACAAATCTATTCATAAAATGTTGCATATCCTCTGGGTTCTTTGGCAGGGTGTAAAAGTTTCATATTACACGTTGGACTTTGAAATAAGGTTAAAACATTAAAACCAAGTCAGCAAACCGTAACCGGACTTGAAAACCGAATATCATATGATGAGAAGGCTCAATTGCAATATATTTGAGAAATACTAAGGTACACTTTTTAATAGTTACACTAATATTTAATCTATATAATTAATACGCTACACGAAACTTTGTCGGTTGAACTCCTGCGCCATTTCTTAACCGATTTTATCCATTGACGTCTCATTGGAAAGAGCGTGTCGCGTAGATTTGCAAACTGGCCTTACATTTTTGAAAAAGTCCCTTGGGCTCTGCCCCAGTGGCTTAGAAAGTTCCCATGTTATCCTTATGGAGAACTTAGTTGTTTACATTTTGATCAGCTGTATAATTTAATTGCTGTTATTTATTTTTCAATTCAAAGTCTTTACTCATAGGAAATTATAATGACTTTTATTTGTTTTTAAATAACTACTTTACTTCTTTGCAATTGCTCGATTTCGAGCAACGTGTTTACTAGTTATTATTATTTGGTTTCAAAATAGTTCGTAAGTAGTTTGCCTGGACATTTGTCTTATACTTGGAGATAGTTTGAAAAGATCCAGGACAGTAATGTTGTCACCGGTTTGCCAGCATTGCTTGCCTGCTGTTTTATAACCAAATCACTTCGCATTTTTATTCCCACTAGAGACAACCTCCCTCCTTTATAGCAAAAAGGGATCCAGACTATAAGCAAAGGCATTTGTTATATTAACATAAAAAAATATATTACGTCAAATTTACTCATACATATTATGTTAAGTTTTCCAAGGC